CTGGTAGTCTTCAGGGATCTGCCTCCCCAAGGCTCATTCAGGTGTGGCTTTGCCAACCTCCCAGCCATGTTCCATGAGTTCCAATGCTGCCTGTTGGTCGCCTCGCATGGCCCCAGACACCTGGCTCTCCCTGTCCTCACATATTTTATGCCAGAACTGTATGCCAGACTGAGCCTTGAGTTTCGGATTGGAAGAGTCCACCCTTAACCCACCTCCTGTTCCTCTCCTGACACCCTAACAAATGTCACTTCCTCTAGGATCCAAGTAAACGATCTACTGGTGGAGGTGGATGGAACAAGCCTGGTGGGAGTGACCCAGAGCTTCGCAGCCTCTGTCCTCAGGAACACCAAGGGCCGAGTGCGGTGAGAGCCAAGAGAGGGGACAGGCAGGAAGCTAGTCCCCTCATGGCACCAGTTCCCTGCCAGAGGGACTTAGACTTGCAGCCCCTGCCCCAGGCCTGCCTTCCCATCCCTGGGTCCCTGGCTCCTGCTCACCACTGCGACTCAGGCTTCCAGGCTCATGTCCCTCCATGCTCTTCTCTGGGCTTTATTCTCCTTCCCTGCCAACCAAATGACTGCCAACCAAACTAGGTTCCCCCACCTAGAGCGTCCTCTTCCCTCCGGGTCCACACCATGCCCTGTTGGTTAAGGTTGCTCCATTGGGTTGAATAGAAGTTTGTGTGCACCTCTGGCGGGACTCCTGGGGATCACTCTCTGCCCCCCTTCTAGAGGGGTGCTGCCCCCAGGCAAGGGTGCTGGAGAGTAACAGGATGTGGGTGCCTGGGGGAGGAGGAACAGGTGCCTGGAAGTCTCACTGTTTCCTCTCCATGCTAATCTGTGATTGCCATCATCCTGCCCCTTCCTGACTAGGGGCTTGGAGCACACCCAAGATACACCTCTCTGGTCTAGTCCCCATCCCCTAGGATGGGTCATTTAGGCCACTCCCCTGCTTTGTTTTGTTTGTCTTTTCTCTTCGTTGGGAAATGCTCCTATGCTGCTCTAGAGCTCCTGAGTTCACGTTCCCCTGTATCCCTGCCCAAAGTTTGGCTGACATCCCCTTCCCAAAAGTGGCCGGGAAGGCTAGCAGGTCTTCCTGCCTCTTCTGGTAGGCAGCCCTGGGAGAGCCCTAGCTCCCCCATTCATTATTAATTCCACAGCTTCTGGACTCCGGCTCTCACTTCACCTCCCCTGGGAGGGCCTAGGTTGGGGGGGCGGGGAACACCACCAGGAGGGCAGTGGCATGCCCAGCTGTAGGCAGGCTGGGATGACGCCAGGATGACAGACGACTCTGGTGTCCCTGCAGGTTCATGATTGGCCGGGAGCGGCCTGGGGAACAGAGCGAAGTGGCCCAGCTAATTCAGCAGACCTTGGAGCAGGAGAGATGGCAGCGGGAGATGATGGAGCAGAGATACGCCCAGTATGGAGAGGAGGATGAGGAGGTAGGGACTCGGCATGCTCGCCCTCTGGTGGCCAGATGAAGCAGTGCAGTCATTGGCCTTAACTCCTTTTTCCAGGCCTGTTAAAGAAACTCAAACCCCAGGGGAGCTTATGGTCAGAGAGAGAAGCAGACCCTCCCCTCAGAGGACCCCCTGGTCAAACGGAGGAGTCCCACTCTCTGTCTTCAGAGGGTGTCCCTGTAACTAGAAGGAAAACAAGGTCCCCTCTGAGTCCTTACTCTAGGAGCAGGGTAGAGCCCCTAATCGAGGGAACCGAATCGTGGGAGAGGGTTGGGTCCTCAAGGAAGCTATGTTATGGGGAAAACAGTACAGGAAGTTTCTTCCGAGTCTTGCAGTTTGCCTGTCCTAGCCATGGAGACTCCCCTGGCTAGCCCCCAGTGTGACATGAGCATCCTGCTGCTGGTCTCGGGCCTGGCAGCAGGGTTGCCGAGGGAGGTGGAGTGAACGGGTCCACATCGCCTGCATCCCTCCACAGACAGGAGAGTATGCCACCGATGAAGATGAAGAACTGAGCCCCACGTTCCCAGGGGGCGAGATGGCCATCGAGGTGTTCGAACTAGCAGAGAATGAGGACGCGCTGTCCCCTGTGGAGATGGAGCCGGAGAAGCTAGTGCACAAGTTCAAGGAGGTTGGAGGAAGGGCCCTGGGCGGTGGGTGAAGGCAGGCGGGGAGCTGGCCCCAGGGGCTGAGTGCCACCCTGTGTCTGCAGCTCCAGATCAAGCATGCTGTCACTGAAGCGGAAATCCAGCAGCTGAAGCGGAAGGTGAGGGTGTGCGTGTACATGTGCGTGTGGGTGCACATTGAAGAGCTGGGCTGAGGGCTGGAGAGAGAAGCCCTGCCTTCACACAGGGGGACACACACACACACACACACACACACACACACACACACACCCCAACACACAACATTCCACCGTGGGCTACCGTGAGGCCAGGGATATCGGGATTAAGATCCCAAGCTCTGGCCCATCTGTTCCCCCGTTCATTAACTGGGTCTCCATCCCATCATACGTGAGGTGAGGTATGAAAGCACTGCCAGCAGCATAGAGAGAAACCGGAGATCTGCTACATGCACATCTGCAGCAGATAGAGGAAGTCTACAGCCTGGTCCGGGGTCGGTGCTCAGTCAGAAGTCAGAGTGTGTCAGCAAGTCCGTGGAGATAAACCAGCTCTCATTGTCGGCGTCCGTGTTTACTGTTCAACACCCATCCACTCTGCACAGGCCTAGGGATAAGAGAGAGGCTTTTTGACTACCTAAAGTCCACAGAGCTACACAGAGTGACGCATACCAGCCTGGATCCCCAGACCCATTTATCCAGACCCTGCACACTCCTGTCTGCACAGACATTATTTTCATATACCTGTGACCGATTGGCCTGAATAGGTAGATCCACACTGCCCTTGAGGTCACAGAAACGCATGGGCATGACCCACCATTCAGGCTGCCGGGCCCAGGAAGAGTGTCAGAGGACATGCACATTGTCACCTGGGCCAGCAGCACGCATGCTGGTGCTGACGGCGCCAGCTGGTGACACACACGGCTGCTGTACATGCCTACCAGATGCTTACAAGCACACTGGGTACCCACACACTCCCAGGCGTTGTAGACACACAGACTCTATATTGAAGGAGTCCCAACTCCCACAGGGTTTCCAGGGTAGTGGGAGAAAAACCGATGCGGGCGGGAGATGCAGCGCAACAGGGATGTGTGTGTTCTCTCCCCCATGGATGGAGGAGGGCAGGGGATGGGTGCCTAGGAGGGAGATTTCAGCTGCCTTTGAGAGGGGGCCTGCCAGGGCATGGCAGGTGTTCCTGTGAGGAGAGGGCAGGGGCAGCTGGGTGGTGGGAAGGCTAGAAATGGCATTGTATAGACCTCAGCCCTCCAGGAGCTGTGGCCTTGGTTCTATGGGCATGGAGCTGTGGCCCCTAGGGATTTTTTTTGGAAGTTCACCACCTAGGAAATGGGGGTGAGGGGGCAGGACTCAAGGGTAAGAAGGCCTTGGAAATGGACAGACTGGTTAGAAGCCTAGGCAGAGCCTGACAGGGTGAGTCAGAGTACAGGCCAAGGGTGGAAGGGAAGTGAGGCTACATTTTTGAGGGTGTTTTCAGGGCATGAAGCAGAGGGTGGCTCACAGGTGGTTGCAGGCTCAGGAAGCAAAGAGGCATTCAGTTGGCAGACACCCAGGGCAGCTTCTGGACCGCTAATGCCACTTCAGGCCCAGTGCTGAGCAAAAGCAGAGCTGATTCTTGTCCTTGTGCGTCTTAAGAGTCGGCACACCACTGGCTGCTGTTCCTGCCTGATAGGCTCTGTGGAGCAGGAAGAACCCCATCCAGTTGGAAGGAGGATGCTGCCCTACTGAAGTCGCTGCAGGGAAAGTGATACCCAGCAAGAGTACTGAGGAAGGGTAGATGGGGCATTCCTAGCAGAGGGAACAGTACCTGCAAAGGCCCTGTGGCAAGTCCCAGGGTCTGCAGGAAGGCCTGAGTTATCAAAGCTTAGAAAGCAAGAGGTGTTTGCAGTGGGTAAGAAAAAAAAGGACCCCCAGGAACTGGAGACTGAGTACCGGGACTGCCGTGAGGCGGTGACACCTTCTCCCAGGCAAGCGAGCCAGGAAAGTTGGCTTCGGATGAGGGAGGGTCCCATTGAGGGCCTGGTACCTGTGAAAAGCTGGGAGGTAGGGCTGGAAGTTAGGAGCAAGATCTGGCCAGAGCTCTGTGCACAGCAGTGGTGTGGGAGGGGGGGCCTTGCCTTGAGGAAATGGTCAGGAGAGAAGAATGCAGACCGGTTACCCGAGAGCTGGAGAGGGGCTGGATCGTTCAAGAATCTCCGGGGATAGGGGCTGGTCAGCATGCCATGGCTGCAGAGGGTGCAGAGCTGGTGGTGACCGTTTGATATCGATCATCTCACTAGCCCTGAGGCTTATCGCTCCCACCTTCTGGATAAGGCAGAAGTTGCTAATGAGCGACTCCTGGGTGCCTGCTACCCCCTGGGAGAACTCTGAGGTCAGCCTCAGAGAGTTAGCAGTTGGGGGCCAGTGGATTCCACGGGTGCAGGGATGGCCGGAGACCGTTGGCTCCGCCGCTCACTCTGGTCGCCTTTAACCCGGGGCTGCCCTTTGCTCAATAGTTGCAGAGTCTGGAGCAGGAGAAGGGGCGCTGGCGGGTGGAGAAGGCCCAGCTGGAGCAGAGTGTGGAGGAGAACAAGGAGCGGATGGAGAAGTTGGAGGGCTACTGGGGTGAGGCCCAGAGCCTGTGCCAGGCCGTGGACGAGCACCTGCGGGAGACTCAGGCTCAGTATCAGGCCCTGGAGCGCAAGTACAGCAAGGCCAAGCGTCTCATCAAGGACTACCAGCAAAAGTAGGTGTGAGGAGCTTTGCATCCGGGCCCGGGCAGGAGGGGGAGGCCCTTCAGTGGTCATCCCCACCCCAGCCTCCCTCCGGCTGAGTAGGGAGACAAGGAGTACAGAAGTCAGAGGGCACCATGGTGGGGTACCTGAGCTGGAACGGCTGAATAGGACCGAAGCCACACCATCAACCCTAACCCACCGTCTGTTCCTCGCCTGTCTCCAGGGAGATCGAGTTCCTGAAAAAAGAGACTGCCCAGCGTCGGGTCCTGGAAGAGTCGGAGCTAGCAAGGAAGGAGGAAATGGACAAGCTTCTGGACAAGGTAGAGCCTGGGTGCCCTGAGCGGCCTCCAGAGGGAGCAGCAGAGAAGCCAGAGTCGAAGAACGCCACTCTGTTGTCTGTTGTGTGGGAAGGACTGTACTGCTGGCCACCGGGGAGCTTAGGGTCAGGGCTGGGGGCTGGGGGCAGGGTCCACGCTCAGTGGCCAAGCCTGATGCCCCCCGTCTTTGTTTTCTAGATCTCGGAACTGGAAGGAAACCTGCAAACACTGAGGAATTCCAATTCTACTTAACCGGAGTCACTCCTTGACTGGACAATAATAATCATCCCCTCCCGATATCCTCACCGCCCTGTCCTCAATCCCCGCCCCTCCCCTAACAGCCTGGGGACAGGTGCCCCGACTTCCCCCACTCCTCCACCCCACCTCCCCCAGCTTCAGGGACCAGAGGGCCCATACTACAGGCCCCTTTAGGGCGGCCCGGGCAGACGATGGTGGCTGGAAGAGTGGCCTCCTTGTTCTATGGGGCTAAGGGACAGCGGCTGAGTGAGAGAAGCTGACCTGGGTGGTGGATGGACACAAGGACCTGCAGACCAAACTGCCAGACTTTACAACCTCCAGCCTGTGTCTCTGGACCGGAGTGGAGCTGGGGCTGTCCCAGCATCTCACCACTTGGAGGCTGCTCCCTGCCCACCGGGTCCCTGTGGCCCCTGGGCCTCTTGACTTGAGATTCTACTTTCTTGGCCCTTTCCTCCTTCCCTACCATTGTGCTGTCTGTTGCATTCTGGCCTCCTGCTTGGAGGGGTTGCCTCAACATCTCCCACCCCTGCTCCCCATCCCAGGAGGGATAGAGCCCACCCGTGAGCCAGAGGCTGGGCCTGGGCCCGCACTGATTTCTCACGTATCCTTGGTGGGGTGCGGGGAGAGCCGGAGTGGGGAAGAGGATGAGTCCAAAACACCTGGAATCCGGCCCCCCTTTTCCTAGGAAGGGCAGCGGCCCTCACCTTCTCCTTGTGCCTCCCCTCTCCCAGGTGCCAAATAGCCATAGCCTCCTCCTGGAACCTGTCCTGAGGCCGCGCTGGGGTTCAGGGTTCCTTGGTCTAGCCTAGGAATGCCAGGAGGGAGGGAGGTCAGCTTAGGTGGTGTGCCTGCAGAGCTCTCGCTGGGGAGCTAGGCCCAGCCCAGGGCCACACCTGGAAGCCTTGTTTTACCATCAAAGAGACTCAGCCTCCCCCTCCTCCCCTCCCCCACTGTTTTCCAATGTTTTCACTGGAGGGCAAAATTTTACTAATCTTTTTGGAGACCAGGGCTGCTTGCTGTCAGCCTGCTTTCTAAGTGAAATTGACTCAGTTTCCCCACTTTAACCCCAAATTGGGGCTTGGACCAAGGGAGGTGAGACCCCCTCAGGAACCCTCCCCTTTCAAAAATCCATCTCATTTTGCCACTTCCACAACCCCTGCCCCAAGCCTAGGTTTCTGTTCGTTTTTTTGTTTTGTTTTGTTTTTAAACAACCCTGTTCTGTCCTTTTCGGCTTCCCCTAGACCCCTGTAAATAGACCATACCATCAGTCAGTATTTCTTGCCCCTCTCCCGCCCCTAGACGTTCCCCGACTCCCCGGAAAGAGCTGGCTGTCAAAGTGCCCGGCCCCTGCACTTCACCTAGGCAGATGGAGGGGGCGGAGCCGGGTGGGCGGGTCCTCGATGTACTTCCGGTTCTGACCGGCAGCGCTCTTGCCCCGCCCTTGGAGGACCCCGTCTCTGTATATACTATATATATGTATGTATTGTTCCTGGTTTTGTACGGACCATGCCCTCTGTCAGGTCGTCCCCATAAAAGCAGCCCCAGAGCCTTGCTGCCTGGTTTCTTGATGCGCTGGTGGGGGGAGGGGGAGAGGGAGGGATACTAGAAGTTCCCCACCCTTTTCTAGTTTTGCCCAGGACCTAGAGATGATCTCAACGCCAGTTCAGTTCTCCAACCCGTCTCGGCAAACTCACTTGCCACCATTGCCCAGCTTTCGTGGGGTCTCAAGACAGCTTTTCAGGTCCCCCTTTCACAAAGTCTTTCGAGCAAGCCAGAAGATGGACTGAAAAACAACTCCTCTCCCCCGAGAACTGAGCAGTCTGCAAGACCCCAGAGGTCTCCTATGAAGTACCAGGGGGACCAAAGATTTCTTGGGGTGACGACCTAGAAGACGACTTTCAGAGCATTGTTGTCCACAAGGGCACAGAGAATGTTCTTTGGCCCTCCTGGGCTGGCTTGAGAGGCTTCATATAGTCCTACTGCCCAGGAGAGAATGTAATGAGCCCTGGAGTATACAGCACAGCCTTGTCTTGTCCAGGGGCTGGGAGGCAATCTTGTGCTTTAGTAGCTTGGACCCCGGGCGAGTCTCATCTTCCCTTCTTCCGATAAGAAACAAAAGTCCTAATCTCCAGATCACTTTGCTTGGCCCCTGACAACACCAGAGATGAGTGGTCTCCACAAGAACTCCACTAACGGCCCCTGAGGTCGCCTCTCCCTAGCGGGTAATTCTGTCACAGAACTTGTTCCTGTCAAGCCAAATAGTGGCTTCCTGTTAACTACCCTCAAAACTGGTTCTGCACCTCAGGGCCATATAAGTCCTGCCCAGCTCTGACACCTACCGCACAGTCATCAGGGAACTTAGCAGTGGCGGTGGCCCCTAGGACATTCCCTCTCATCGGGTCATCCTTGGAACATTGGGAGCCCTGGGGATGCTGCAGGTAGATCCAGGCGGGGTTGACTTCCATAAGAGATTCCCTAAGCGAGGTCTCAGGTTGTCATGCCTAGGTTAGATCATCCTCCCTGAACCAGTAACCTACCAAGTCCCTGCTCAGGAAACCTTGCCAAGAAATGAAGCAGCTGGGCTTACTGGGGGGTGGGGGGTGGGGAACAAATGGGTTTGTGATAAGATCTAGTCTGACAGGCCAAGCATCTAAAGGGGAAGACCTGTGGCCCGTACCTACCCTGTGTACTTACTATGTGAGGAGGGGACCTCTCCTAGATGTTCAAGGGGATGGTTCAATAGCACTTCGTGTTTGAGTGTGTCGTATGGCTGGGGACCTTGTGTATGGCTTTTCTGGGAGTTTGTCAGGCCTGAGCTGTGACTTACACATGAAATAAGTCCATTTGGGGGGCTGTCAAGTGGTGTGCGCAGACTGTGATGTTTGTCCTCTTAACTCCCCCAACTCACCCACTCCCATCATCTATTGAGTCGTGGGGATTTGAGCAGATCTGCCACCACCCCAACATTTGCTGCAGAGGAGGGATATCAAATGGATTTCCCCAGATCCCAGCACCTTAGGCCCGAGTAGGAAAAGGGTCCCATTCTAGCACTGACACACACACACCTCCTATAAAGACTCCAGAGCAGCAGTTCTCAACCTGTGGGTCGTGACCCTTTTGGGGGCCAGACAGCCCTTTCACAGGGGTCACCTAAGGCCATCAGAAAAAAAAAAACAACAGATATTTACGATTCAGTAACAAAATTATAGTTATGAAGTAGCAACAAAAATAATTTTATGGTTGGGGGCCACCCCAACATGAGGGACTGTATTAAAGGGTCTCAGCATTAGGGAGGTTGAGGACCACTGTCCTAGAGTCTGCCTGCACAGGTGGTCGGTCCCCAGAGACATTTCCTCACATGACTCTACAGTCTAACCAGACTTTCAGCAGAATTCGAAGATACCCAGAGGTGGGCCCCTCCAGCTCTGAGATGCTCTGAGCTCCACTGATACGTCCTCCCTCAGTTCTAGGGAACTCTTGGCTCACCATGCCGCTGCCCACCCTTGGCAGTCCTCCATTCCCATGAGCCACCAGGCGTTCTCTAACTCTCCGGACGGCACAGCTCACACTAAGGTCATCACTTGCTCCTGAGCAAACCATTTTCTATTTGAGTCGCTGGCCTGTGTATCTTAGAGGACAAGAGAAGCCCCTACCTTAACGTTTATTGGGAAGGCGATGTTAAAGAATCTGAGAAAAACGCCTGGTACTTGGTACCTGGTACCAAGTATGCCCTCAGTCTTGCTGCATGGTAGGTAGCTGGTGATCACACCCACCGCCGCCACCACCACTCACCTGCCACCATCTCAGGCTCACCAGGTCTAAGTCTGAGCTCATCCACCCCACCCCCTTACCCCCTAGCTCCAGAACTGCCAGGCCCCCAGCCAAGACCCACAGCCATCCTAGACCCCGCCTTCTCTCAATTCTTTGTCCAGCCGGCTCCAAACCCTGTCTGTGTCTTCAATTCTACAGTCAGAATTGCTCTCAGCTTGATCTTTAATCTTCATGCCCACTGCTGTCATCTTCCAGCAATCCCTTGAGGCCGGCGCCAGACTTCCGGCTGCCCCCTGCAGTCCACTGGGGTGCCCAACGAATTTTCCTAAAATGCATGTTGAAGCTCCTCCCTCCTAGGTTAGCCTTTTTTGGGGGTGTGGGGGGCGGGGTGGGAAGCAGAATGAATCAACCCTCCAGCTCCAGCTCATTTTCCCCGCTGGTCCACCCACCCAGCAATGCTCATGAGTAAGTCTCCCGTAGCCTGGCCTGCAGTAGCCACACACCTCTAGGAATCCTCCCTGGGCCCTACTCCAGTGCCTCGGGTGCACGCCCCCTCCAGAACTTGAAGTGTCTTTTTCGTTCCGGCACCCACAGCTTTCAGTCTTGGGAAATCCCACTCGGCTGAACCCCGACAGCACTGGACCAGGTCTGTTCTGTTCCACAGTGGTTCCCCTCCAGCTTCCAGCGCCCAGGCTGGCTGCTCAGCGGATGCTTGTTGAATAAAAGAACGAGAGAATTAGGAGCCCTCACAGACCCTGCAGAGGAGGCGGAAAGCCCCGTGCGTCCCGAAGCGGACCGCCCCCACCCCCCAC